AAAATTAGGAAAGAGACTACCTGGCAGGGCAAACAATGCTAAGTGCCACTGCATTTACCTACTTGCTTTGACAAATAACATAACTATTAGTAATTTGCTTTTTGTTATACCTTGAATTTATTTTAGTTTTGTGTTTGTTTTACTTATTTATTTTTGCTTTGCAATTCTAATTACCTGAAGTCATCTCAATACTATGTATGTCACTGACTTTTTTAGAAATAAAAGAATTTTTACATAAAATCTGCTGCTTTTACATTACTCCAAGTACCAAAAAATTAAATCTGTTTCACATGCCAAAATTGTTTTCAAATACATTGGTATCCAAGGGATTAACAAGATTATGTGCTCTCTTGAGTGCTAACCCCTTCAAGGAGTATTACTTGTGGTATTTCAAAAGTATGCACAAGAACAATGGGCAGGGCTGGCTTAAAGCTTTTCACCAAAGTTATAGGCTAGGGGCATGACTACCCACCACGACCTGCTCAGTTAGAAATTTATGATCAGATCACTCTGTGAGGTTACATCCATAGAACCCCTTTTTTTTAAATCCACAGTTCTCCATTTTGGTCATAAATCAATCGGAAAGATGCAGTGGTTACCAAACTTTTGGTCAGATACTGTGGTCTCACAGGCTCATTCAAGCCTCAATATCAACATGGTCTTGTTGACCACTGGGGATGGGACAATACCGTAACCACTGGATCTGAATTGAGGCTGAATTTTCCCAAAATAGCAGGGGCAGGTAACTAGAAGGCAGTCAGGTCTTATGGCCTTCATTGAGAAAAAAACATTCTGGATCATTTTTATCCTGTGAACTATCATGATCCAAATTTTGCCTTCTGTCTCATTTTTCTGTATTTGGCATCTAGTATTATATAAGCCATGAAAATAGTATTAGCAGTTATCTTATATATATTCAGTAATCATAAACAACTGGACTACATAGACAAACCCAAAGAACAATGTAACTATTGATATTATTGACTAATATCATAGCAGGTAAGGACAAACAAAATGGATTCTGAGTTCAATATCAATCCTCAGGTGTACAGGCCTTGTCGATGTCTTGGGATAGCTGTCTACCTCTGATGTCAGCAGCTTCTTGTCCTCAAGGAGTCTTTGATGTCTGCAGATGGGTAGATGTCCATTCGAGGTTAGGCGCCTGACAAAGTCCCTTCCAATGAGGTTGGAGAGTGTCTTTTATTTGATGTCCCTTCCAGTAAACAAAATCTCCAGGTGGCAGGCAATGATCTTTAAAGCTGTCGGCTCCTGAGAGGTCCTTGTGAAAGGAAGCGGTTATCAACTTGGCATTTTCTTGAAGCAACTCTATCAATCCTTGGCAATAATGTAAGACGTCTCCTTTCAATAATGTCAGCTCATAAATTCCTTCATCTAAGTCCAGCTTAAATATACTGTGATGCATGAAGGATGCAAAAACAAAACAAAAAAAGGGGTTTGCCAGGGAGCAGGGAAGAACCAGGCAGCCATCTTGGGTTTCCCATAGCACCATCTATCCGTTTAACTTACTACCATTGTTTACCCATCCGATATGCTCTAGAAGTTTTTCATCACTTATTTTACAATGCTTCCTATGCAATTCCAAATCTTTTGAGGTGTTCCAGGAGCCCTTCTGGAACACCACAAAGGTAGTCCTACATTATAGAGATTTTAACCCTTAAAACCTCAATATCTAATGAAAACGAAGAAGTAAGCAATTAGCCTTCTTTAGCTTGGACATTTCATAACCTCTAGAAACATTTTTCAGACATAAAAGTTGATTATTAATATGGACTTACTTCTGTAAAACCCAAGCAACATAAAGACATGTCTGTTTTACTTAAAACAATCAACTTTAACTTTTATTTACTAAGGATTAATCTCAAATCATGTGAACGTGAAAAACATTTGAGTTAGTTTCTATATTTCTGAGAATTTTAGAATACCCAATCTTTACAAGCACTTGCCTTTATATTAATTTTAACAATACCATCCGGAGGTAGAAAATTATCTCACATTTATAATGTACATATATAGACATACAAAAACAGAACAGTTGGATCCAAATTTTGTTTTGGAGGCCTTTTATAATTCATATCTGTCCTTGACAAGTCAAGTTCCAAAATACCTTCCTCCTTTTAAAAAAGGACAGGCATTTTTAATACTGCCAAGAATTGGGTTGACACCTAAATGGAATCACGATTGATCTATTTATCTAAATCCTCTTGTTAAAGCTTTGAGAGACCAACTAAATGTTTTCCATTCTTTCTGTCTAATTTTACAGCCAGCTTTTTCTAATTGTGCACGTGAAAATTAATTTAGAAGTATCAAAGGATCCTCACGTTGGCCATCTCAGTTACAAATGGGAGGCTGACTGTGATGGCCCTTGTTGGCCTGTGAGGCAGGATTTCCCATGTTAATTTTGAGATATGTAGAGTCAGAACAAACTTCTAGAGAAAACCAGCCTTTAAATGCATGTCTCCTGGCAAGCCAAATGCAGTGGGTACCGCTTAGGACTGCTTTACGCCCTATAGAAAATATTTCCTAGGGCAACCCCACAAAGATTTGTAGTCACCTAAGAATACCAGAGCAAGGGCAAGCAAGAGCTTACCAGGTGCCCCAGAATCACAATGCTTTCCAAAGCATGGGCCCCTCTTTCAGGGTGAACCCTTCCAGGGCACCCTGCCCTTCTCCCCAGGGCTACCACACTGGACAACTCCTGGTACCCATCTCTGCCACCCTGGATTTATGGATCAGAACTATCATCACCCCATTTGGCTATTCTGGTTGGGGAAGCAAGTGTCCTTTCCTCTTCAGAGCTAAAGAGAGTTCAGTCTCTCATTTAACCAGCAAAGATTTTGTTCAGATTCTAAGTAAAAAGCCAAAATTAAAAGCAGCAACCCATTTTTTTTCTTTTCCCTGGGTTAGCTCAACCTTATCCACCTTGAGGATTTTCGAAGAACAGCTCAAATAAATTCATGGTCTGCTACTTAAAGCAAGGAGGCTTGGAATTCTGAGACTCACCCAAGTCACCTGATGCGAAGTGGGGAGCTGGTGGGGCACAATGGGCCCCTGCTTGTACCTAGCACCGGGTCCAGGCAGGGTGGTCCTGGGTGGGCTTCTTTGGAATCCTGCTGACTACGTCAAGTAAATGTCAACATAAGAAATGTCCAAACCTGCAGAAAATTTTTATCAGTGTTTGAGCCAAACTGATGACAATGCCAGTAGCAAGATCTCAAATACTCCCAAGAATAAATTTTGCAACTTCCATTATGAATTTGAAATTAAGGAGGGAACATAAGGAAGACTGGAGAAAGCAAGGCAGGGGTCAGATTACAGGGTAGTTAGCAAGAGTATGTGCTCTCTTGAGGCTTTATAACCCCTTCAAGGGTTATTACTTGTGGTATTTCAAAGGCTTGTTAATCTAGAGGCACAAGAACAATGAACAGGGCTGGTTTAAAACCTTTCACTAAGAAGTTATATGCGTGGGGCATGACTACCTACCTGCTCAGTAAGAGTTTATGATCAGATCACCCAGTGAGGTTACTTTCCATAGTACCCCTTTTCATTCAATTACAAATCTTAGGGTCAAATTAGTGAAAGTACATAGACTAAGCAACAACAACAAAATGACATTATTAACTCAGGGGTGTGGGGGGGAAACACCCCAGGCATATAACTTCTTTAGTAAAAGGATTATCTTTGCCTTAAGCAAGCCCCATCCATTGTCTTTGTGCATCTAGGTTAACACACCTTTGCAATGCCCTCTTTCAGACCCCTCCTCCTAAAGTGGACCACCCTCAAGAGTTTAAATAAAGCACAGAACCTTAACTGCCCTGTAATCTGATCCTGTAATCTGACCCGGCCTTGCTTTCTCCCACCATCATGTAATCTTCTTTAGGTTCCCTCCTTAATCTCAGATGCATAAAAGAAACTGCAAACTTATTCTCTGGAGCATTTGAGATCGTGCCCCCCCACCCCCACCCCCGCATGTGCCATCAGTTTAGCTCAAATAAACTCATAAAAATTATCTACAGGTTTGCACATTTCTTATGTCAACACACTGACTACTAATTTAACCAAAATTCGACAGAAAACAATGGCAGGCTGGGGAGTGTGGAGGGCCTGAAGGTGGAAGGGTGTGTGTGTTGGGAGTAAGGGACATGAGGTAAGGGGTATTACATAAAATGAGACCTACCATGCGTTGGTTAAGTCAACAGACAATAGAAATAACAAATTTTTTTAAATTTAAAAGTGGAAAAATTTTGCTGCCAGGGAGGGTTGATAGGGATAAGGGATGATATGGGCACTGCTTGGTTTCAAAACAAGCCTTTCAGAAATATTTGACTACTTTTAAGTATGTATATGCGTAACACTGACTAAAATGAAAACTAGTTTTCAAATAATCACTGAGCGTTCTGGTCAAGATGGTGGAGATAAATGCTGTGCTTGCCTCCTCCCAAGACCACATCAAAATTACAACTAAATTATAGATCAACCTGGAGAACCACCTGGAGTCTAGCTAAACAGAAGTCTTACAACTAAGGATATAAAGAAGTCGTCACGTGGGGACTGAAACATACTGTGCAAACCCACGTAAAAAAAAGATCTCTGGCCCGTTAAGTTAGGACCAATGCTGGTGGACAAGAATGGAATCAGGGAAACCAGCGGGGAAGCTTTGACGAATGAATCCTAGTGAAGGATCATGGTAGTTCAGTAGCAGTGAGGTTGGTGAGCGAGCGGTCAGAAAGGAATTCTCCAGGGACACGACAAAACTTTTGGTCCAACTGATCCCTTGGACCAAGAGAGAGAATTAGGGTGATTACTAGGGGAGTTTGTTTTCTAAATGAGCGATTGGATGGGTACTTTTAATATGACAAGTCTGGGGAAGGCACAGGATGGCGGAAGGGATACGCTTGTTTGGGTGACAAGATTTTTGCCCTGCTCTATCTGAAATGCCTGTACAATACAAAAGTTCTGAGAAGGGAGCAATGGGTACATACGTTGCAAAGAGGCACAAGGCATGATCTTGTGAACTTTCTAACCATCTATCTTGGACGTGATGCTAGCGAGCAATTCCCTCAGGATGGAAGGTCTGACGATAACTTCCAACGCTCGGAGTGCTTTTCAGACTATTTCAGCATTGGTGTGGTCAGGAAACGACCGCCCACCTCCGCCAGAAAAGCAGGGCCGCGTTCACGCGCGGGTTTCAGCGCTCTGAGAGGGGGCGGCGGCTGAAGTCAGGCCCCCGGGAGCGGCTGCGTAAGATGTCCCCGTGCACAGGTCTTGGGTCACAGGGGCCGCAAGACTCGGGAAGGGAGGCGAGGGGGCGGCAATGCTCGACACCCGCGCCACAGGGCCACCAGGGCCAGTGGGTTCACGCACGCCAAGCCAAGAGCGTCTCACGTGGGGCGCGGGGCGGGGCAAGCCGCCTCTCTCCTCAGACGGAATCGCTTACCGGAAGGCACGTAGTCCTCGTCCTCCTCCGAGCTGGAGAAGTCTTCGGAGTCGAATTCCTCCATGTTACTGCCTCACAGGGCGGACCAAGTCAGAGGACCGGAGTGGCTGCCCGCAACGCAAAGCCCTGGGGAAAGACCATAAAGATGTACTGGGGTCGGCGGCGGCTGAGGCGGGGCGCCGCAGCGTGTGCACATGCGCAGAGAGTGTTACACGATGGAAACGCGATACTTCCGGGCCAGTGCCTGGGCTTGCCGCTACTGTGGCGATTGACCTAGCACCGTGCTGAAGCAGTGCATGCTGGGACTTGTAGTCTTCGGAGCTAGCTACAATAGCTTCTTTAATTTAGTAAATGTGCTTAAACAAAATTGCATGTTTATGGGATTACATGCTAAATCGCTTACATGCTAAAATTTATTGTAACCCCAAAATCAATATTCGCGGTGCTTTCTGGGGTTATTCATGAACGTGCGCAGAGAGAAAATTTTAAGTCAACCAAAAGTGCATTTTACCAGTTGAGATTGAGCGAGGCAGACGATCAGCTTTTTTTGCTTCAGTTCTCATGCTGTGTATAAAGATACTTTTCGCAACCTAGTGCCACATGTTTTGCATTTTTGTGCTTTTTATAGCGATTTTGCTGTTTAATATGACCCCCAAGCGTAGTGGTGAAGTGCTGCCTAATGTTCCTAAGCGCAAGAAGGCTGTGATGTGCCTTATGGAGAAAATACCTGTGTTAGATAAGCTTCGTTCAGGCATGAGTTGTAGTGCTGTTGGCCGTGAGTTACATCAAGAAAAAGGAAAAGGAAATTCGTCAATCTGTAAGTGAGGCTTGCTCCGGAAAGTGCTCAAGTAACATCTATAGTGCGTGAGGAAGCTATGGAAAAGATGGAAAAGCGGCTTCATGTGGATTCATGAGACAACAGATAAAAAAGGTGTGATGGGCAGCATTGTTGTGAGGCGAAAGCCAGAGAAATTTACCGTCATGTTACCTAGGGTCGGAAAAATGTTAAACCCTTCTTGACCAGTGCTGGCTGGCTTGCTTGGTTCAAGATGCGATATGGTGTGAAAAATATTAAACTTATAGGTGAGGCACGTTCTGCAGACCAGGAGGCTGCAGAAGAATTTAAAAAATACTTGCTAAGTGTTATACAGGAAAAGGGATATGTGGAAGAGCAGGTTTTCAATGCCAATGAGACCGGCTTATTTTACAAGGACGTTGGCAAATGAACCCATATAACGCATATGGCCTCCAGAGCTCCTGTCTTTAAATCACTCCAAGACTATATACCCTTGCTACTGTGTGCCAATGACAAGGGCGACTTTAAGTGCAAACTTCTAATGGTGTACAAAGCTCAAGATCCACAAGCACTTAAAGGGAAAATCATGAACCATATGCCCGTCCATTAGAGATAGAACAGAAAGCCATGGATGACATCCAACGGTTCCACAATTTCTTCATACCAGAATTGAATGCTATCTCCAGGGCAGAAACCTTGCCTTCAATGTTTTATTAATTTTGGATAATGCCTCAGTCCATTGCTGTGAAAAACTCCAAAATGCCCACCCCAACGTAGAAGTTCTTTTCATGCTCCCAAATACTACACCTCTCATCCAAACCCTTAATCAGGGCATAATAAAAGCTTTCAAAGCACACTATACCAGGGAGCTTTATAGCAATGCTTTCAAGTCTCTCAAGGCCAACAAGGAAACCACCATGATGGACTATTGGAAGTCAGTCAGTCACCATAGGCAACGTTATTTATTATGTTGGCACAGCCTGGAACAGCATCAAGCAGGCTACTATCAATAGCTGTTGGAAAAATGTTTGGCCGAACTGTGTGGAAAGTTTCGATGGCTTTGAAGGTGTTACAGAAAGTATAAAAAACAGTGTCAAAACATAATGCATATAGCATGTCAAATAAGTGGAGAAGGTCTTGACGGTATGAAGGAAGATGTGGAGGAAATTTTGGCAGAGAAAGCAGTAGAACCCATCAATGAAGACCTGGATGAGAGGGCAAAACAAGGGATTGGAGTCAGCAATGATGAGGTTGGCAGTGAAAGTCAGCCCAAGACTCCAAGAATTGTCCCTCTTACAATTGCCAAAATATCAGAATGGAATTCTGTCTTGGAAAAAATTTTCAATGATATGGGAGAGTGTGACCCTGTGCTTGAGAGCAGCCTCAAATTTAAATGCCTCACCTGCAGTGTGTTTGCCCCTTATGCTGAGATTGTTAAAGATTTGAGGCAAAAAGCCAAACAGACAAGGTTGATGCAACATTTCAAGCCAGTTTGGGAGGGAAAATTGCCAACTCCGTCAAAAAGTCATGAGAGCCAAACTCCTGATGTTGAACTGCCAGATGTTGACATGCCACCCTCTTGCCCTTCTGCTGGGTAACTTTCACCAAGCTCTCCCATGGTTCTCATGGGGCACGCCAAGGTGGAGAGGTTTAACTACACTCTGCACTGCACCATCACACATCCTTCAGCACCATTGACAGTAAGATTTTAGTTAGTTTGTATCCGACTTTAAATGCTTAATCTTTAATTTCTCAGGACTTTATTTGCATTACTATATGCAGTAAATGTTCACAGTACTATATGCTTACTGTATGTGAATATTGTATAGTAAGTTATTCTGTTTACTGTGTGTACTCTATCTGTACTGTACATGTGTGACTGAGGCTAAGAGTGAAAGTAATACGATCTCTGTATTATAGAGTACATTACACAAAAGTGCCATAAATGAAATATTGTTTCATTATGAAGAAATACTGCATATAATTATTTGTAAGAAAGATATATTAAATAAGGTGTCTTTGAACAGAAACACACATAAAACGTGTTGTGACCACACAGCAGGATGGTGATTGGACTTGGAGCTGAGCTTGCTGTGCCCTCCACAACTAAGATTGAAGGACAACAACTTGGCTGTTCCTCTTCCTCAATTCCCCAATACTGTTCTCCTCCCCCAATTCCCCAATAAAATCTTTAAAAAAAATGTTGTGACCAGAGACTCGCAGGAACCCAACCCTGTATTCCCCTAACAGTGGTTCAGTATTCACTAATTGTGTGTGGTGACTTTATAGATGTAACTACTGTGAACAACAAGAATTGACTGTATTCTAGAATTCAGATAACATCTACATGAATCCTTCTTTCAGTTAGTCCATATGGAAGTATAACCATATATAATTGTTATCATTTTATCAGATTAAAAAATGTGTTTAATTGTAATCCGATTATAAGAGGCAGTAATCAGAAGCAAGTGCAGATGAGACATCAACAACTAACATCCTAGTTGTTCAGGTTTAGGTTTTTTTCAGCTGAAAATACTCTGGACTAGACTGGGTCAGTGTCACCCAGTCCTAGAGTTATCTAAATCAAGGAATAGGTGAAACATGTCTATGATTAAAAGGACATTACAGTGGCTCTATGCCAGCAAACTTTTAAATTAAAACAGCTGAACTGAAACATAATTCACCATAAATGTTACCCATTTAAAGTGCACAATTCAATACATGTGCAATCATCACCACAATCAATTTTGGAACGTTCGTGTCACCCCAAAAAGGAAACTTTTACCCATTAGCAGTTACTCCCCATTTCTCCTCAATCCCCAGCCTCAGGCTAACCTTTCTGTCTCTACAGATTTGCCTCTTCTGGACATTTCATATAAATAGAATTATATAACATGTGGTCTTTTGTCACTATCTTCTTTCACTTAGTACATTTTCAAAGTTCATTTCTCTTAGGTATATACCTAGTAACTGTGTTTATCTTTGGAGGAACTGCCAAACGGTTTCCCAAAGCAGCCGCACCATTTTATATTCTCACCAGCAGTGTATGAGGGTTCCAATTTCTCCATACCCTTGTCAACACTCTTTTTTATTATAACCACCCTAGTGGTTATGAAGTGGCATATCATTGTAGTTTCAATTTGCACTTCCATGATGGTAAGCCTCTTCTCATGTTTTATTGGCCATGGTATATGTTCTTTGGAGAAATGTCTATTCAGATCTTTTGCCCATTTTAAAATTGGGCTATTTTTTAAAATTAAGTTGTAAGAGTTCTTTATATATTGTACATACCAATCTCTTATATATCACTTGAAAATATTTCCTTCTATTCTGTGTGGTGGTTTTTCACTTTCTTGATGGCATCCTTTGAAGCATAGATTTTAATTTTGGTGAACTATTTATCTATTTTTGTCTCCTGTTCCTTGTGCTTTTGGGATTGTATCTAAGAAAGCTTTGACTAACCCAAGAGCACAAAACTTACTCTTTTCTTCTAAGAGTTTTATAGTTTAAGTTCTTACATTTAGGTCTATGATCCATTTCAGCAGATTTTTCTTGTGAGAGAGTAATAGAAAAATAGAAATGAAATTCAGACCCAGTATTTGGGAGTTTATTGTCTTCACTTTCCTTGGACAGTGTGACAAACTGGGATATAGTCGTTTGCCTCATCACTGAGTCTGGGAAAAAGAATACATTGGAGTTCTCCAGCAGACTCCTCCAGCATCATCCTACTGGGTTGTCAGAAAAGTCATGACGTATTTTGTCTATGTTTTTCAAAGGTCATTTATTTATATAAAGAACAAAAATCAATCAATGATATATTGCCCGTTCGATAACCTTTTGCCATCTTTCAGTGAGCTTCATAATTCCTCGTTCATACAAGGACCTGTCTTTATTTGCGAAAAACTGAACAAGGTGCTGATTTACAGCTTCATCTGAACTGAACTGAACATTATACCACGCAAGGAGTTTTGAAGAAAGCGAAACAAATGGAAGTCTGATGGCGCAAGGTTAGGCAAGTATGGTGGGTGTGGCAACACATCCCATCCAAGCTCCAATCATTTTTGACAGGTGATCAAACTTGTGTGTGGTCTCGCATTGTCACAATGGAACACAACTCCTTTACAATTGACAAGCTCTGGACGTTTCTGGCTGATGGATTTGTTCCAACTGTCCAATTGCTAACAGTACACATTCAAATTGATTGGTTCCTTGGAAGGAGCTCGAAAAACACGAAACCTTTAAAATTCCACCACACTGAGAACATAACCTTCCTCTGATGAATATCTGCTTTCAGTGTCGTTTGAGGCGAATCATCACGTCAGGACCAAGACTGTTTGTGCACCACATTGTTGTAAACAATCCACTTCTCATCACCAGTTATCAGTCACTTCAAAAAAGGATCGTTTTCCTCACGTTTAATGAGCATATTGCAGATGTTCATAAGCGCTGTCAAATGAACTTCTTTGAGTTCATGCGGAACCCAAATATCGAGCTTGCTTACGTATCCCAGCTTCTTCAGGTGGTCGTGAACGCTTGAATGATGGATGTTCAATGTTTCTGCAATCTCTCGTGTCGTGCAACGTGGGTTTGACTCAATCAATGCCTTTGTCATCATCAACCTCAGTGGGCCTCTCTGACTGAGGAGCATCGTTGAGATCAAAATCACCAGCATGGAATTTCGTGAACCACCATTGGCACTGACATTCTTGTAGAGAATTGTCACCATAAACTTTATGCAACTTTTCACAAGCTTGACGCGCATTCTTCTCTTTGTAGAAGTAAAACAGTAAAATATGGCAAAAATGCAGTTTGGTCTTCCATCTTCAATTTGTTGTAAAATCACCAAAACTCAACCAAATCACTCAATTTTTTTTAAAGAATGAAGCTAAAACTGTCAGCTGTCAAATGACATAGCAATAAAATACGTGTGAATGACCCTAGTACTTCCAAAAAGGAACTAGCGCCATCTGTCGCAAACATGTGTCATGACTTTTCCGACAACCCAGTATTTCTGCCATGCTCCTCTTTACAGCTCATTGGCACTCCATACATTTGTTCAAATTCACAACCAAAGTTTCTAACATGAAGGGTAACCAGGAGAAGAGCTATTTTCTATTGTGTCAGGTAGTTTAGTAAGAGGTAAAAAATTGGTTGGCAGGCCAAATCTACGTTAAAGGCATATAAAGTTTGACCTGAAATGATTTTATATGAATTTACATTAAGTTACATGAACTTAAAAAAATGGAGAGGTTCCAAATAATCAGATTTGCAACTTCCCTTGAAAACTGGAGAATTTGGCAACACTGGGCTCATAAGCCCACAAAGTAGAAATCAGCTGGAACTAAGGAATGGCTTTAGACAGGGGTCTCCAGCTGGCCACAGTACAAATCCCCACAACTCCCTACAAGATTCCTGGTTCATTATTACCATGTTGTTTTGGCAATAATTTACAAGGTTCTCCCGTCCAAAATGAGCACCTTTAGCGCCTCATCTGCCATAGGCTCCTACCACTGTCCAATCTTGGGCTATTACCTTTTTGAAAATTTAAAGAAAAGTTCTTCCTCTGTTGGGTCTTGGATACATACAATGTGGGGGCTTGTGGCCGAACTCTGCATGTATCTTCCGGGGTGCATGAAACATTTGTATCTTGATCTAAGTGGTAGTCATACAGGTGTATAAATACATAAAAATTCATCAAGCTATATAACATCTGTGCACTTTACTGTATATACTTCAGTTAAAAAAAAAAAAGAGAATAGATGGGCATTCTCCTGCCAGACATTGTTATCTCTGCCTGCAATTCCTGGGACTGCAGTAGTTATCTTGTGACCATGGGGTAAGCTACCCAAATTGGACACTCCAATTTGCCGAAAATAGCAGAGCAGAAAAAGATTTATGATGTCACAGAGTGTACTAAACCAACCCTGGAGACTTTCTTCACGTGGACTTACCACTGCAATAATAAAATTATCACACACTGTATCAGCTGGCTACCATTGCAGTGTGTAATCATACAAAAGCTTGTTGACAGTTAATATATTGCCCACAACATGGAGTTAATAAGACTCAAGTTCACATGTAAGTACAGTTTAATCACATCTTTGAACAAGAATTTTAAGGTAAATTAGTAAGAAGTTGAACATAAAAGAAATAGTTAAACACATATGTTGTTATTAAAAAAAAAACACTTAAGTCAGACAACCCTATTACAAAAGATGAAACTCATTGGCCACTGAAAAAGAAGTGACAGTTCCAGGGGGCCGGCCGAGTGGCGTGTTGGTTAAGAGTTGGCTTGGGATGCCAGCTCTGAGCAGCAGGGCCCCGGTTCGGATCCCACATGAAGGACAGTGACACTGCGCCCTCTACAGCTAAGATGCTGAACCACAACTCAACCTGGAGCTGGGCTGCCGAGTGGCCAGCAATGGCGTAGGCTGCAGCCCTTGCTGCAGTGGGCTGCCATGAGCTACAGTGAGTAACTGGCAGCCAGTGTGAGTGGCCAGCAGCCCGTGTGAGCTGCCATGAGCCACCGTGAGCGGCCGTCCAATGGCTGGCAAGCAACTACCTCAGCTGGGAAGAGCCCTCAGCCGGGAAGAGTGCAGTGATCATAATAGCAACATGGGCCAGTGAAGTGACGTCCTTCACTAGACAGAACAAAAGGACAGCAACTTGTCTGTTCTCCTTCCTTGATTCCCCAATGCTGTTCCCCTCCCCCAATTAAAAAAAAAATCTTAAAAAAAGTGACAGTTCAAGTTCACAGAATTGAAAGTAATTCTTTATTGATAAACATTTATACCAGAATTAGAAATGTCAGTAGAAAAATAAAATTTAAATAATTTTCTATCATACAAAGATTTGATCATTTTGACTGTAGCAGTTAGTCAAATAATTTAATACAAAAAGTTAAGCTGATTCTAGTCACAACCAGCCTAATGGAGTGCACAACAAAGAAATGCAGGTACATAAAACTTTCTGTGTGTGGATAGCTAATGGCACGAGGGCTTCACATTCCAGGAAACGGTTTTGTAGGGAAGGTTATATGCACTGCAGTTGTAATACTAACTTAATTCAAACCAGAGCAGTCAGAAGGGACACCGGAATCAAAAGCCAACATACAATTTAAAAACTTAAAAAACATAAGGAAAGGTTTAAATGAACTTTTCCTCACTAGTTTAGACATTTCCTAAGAAGTAATGTTTTGCTGCAAAAATGAGTTAATAGCACCAAGAGATGTGTTTCTCTTGGAATATTCATTACACCTTTGTATATGGACTTTAGTTTTCATGAAATGCCTTTACCCTCAAGCCCCCATTTTAAAGAATCCAAAAATCAGTTTTTATGGTTGAGGGCTGACTACCTTCCCTGCATTAAAAAAAAAAGGAAAAGTGGACACACAATTTGGGGATGGGCTGACTACCTTCCCTGCATTAAAAAAAAAAGGAAAAGTGGACACACAATTTGGGGATGGGGTGGTTGCATATGTCTCTAAGAAAGCCAGATGTCAGCAAAAAATTCTCAAAATTTTTGGTAAAATAAAACGTTCAACACAAATGCATATATTTTTTCATCTGAGTAATCAACCCCAAATAACTGTGTATTTGACATGAGAGATTTTAAAAAGCCAAAAAAACAAAAATGAGGAGGAATAGGCATTATCATTCAAACAGTTTCTTCCTGAAAAAATTTCAAGCTACAAAGCTCAATCTACATAAAGTATATATACATTTATTCACAGGAGAATGTTCACATACTGGGATGGATGAAACATTCAATAATTTGAAGACATATTTTACATTTGAAGTTTTTAAAAAGAGTGGAGAGTCAAAACATAGCAAACGACAAACAGACGGAAACAGAAGACACCTTTCAAAATTCATTAATGTTTGTGTCTTGGCTCTAAAGATAAATAACCAAAGATTTCAATCACAGATCAATATGTTCAAAAATTAGTATTCACGGAAGGGGCCCACATGTTCAATTTGTGAAATTCTATCCAAGAGAATGTTTTATTTAGGTGAGAACAAACACTAAGAGGCATCCTTCAATAGAGATGATTAAAATTATTTCTTATAATAAAGGATACAACACCCCCAAATTTCTTAAACTGAAGGGCTACTTTTCAAAATCACAGCTCCTTGAACTGAAAAAGTCTTTAAAGACTTAAAATTTACTTGAAAGAAAGATTAGAGCATTGGAGAGTAATCTTGGTGGGGTATTTATTTGTAAGGACGTTTGCCTGCATTCCTACTCGTAATTTTCCACCTCGTCTGAGTTTATGTCACTGTGATTTTGTTAAGTGATCTAAAGGCCTATTGGTTAAAACAAAATGTCCAGCTCACTTTTGGATCCCTTTGTACTTTTTCTCTTTGACTACCCCTGGTAAATTGATCCTCTTGGCTATTTTTAATCAGAATCCAAAGTGCATCCTGCTTTAAATGGAATGGATACATTCCTGTGTGTATGACCTCATGGGCTGTCAACTTTACTCTCACAATGAAAACTTTCCTTTAAAATGTTAGACTTAATTACCAGAAACCATTTTGAGAACAGACAAGAACAACATTGACTGTATTCCAAATAAAACAGTTTAGGTGGTAAGGATCAACTCAGATACTTAGTTTTTACAATCTTTTCTGTTTTGAAGGTCACAGTTTTCAGGCCTTTTAATGAAAAAGAAAGTTAGGCATTAGAAGAAAAATTTAAAGCTAAAATTGGGTTAAAAAAAACTCTTGATATTTCTCTTTAAGGACAAAATTTCTCTTGAAGGAAAATGAAAATGGCACAGTGGAAGGCATATCTGAAAATTAAACCTTAGGCACTTTCTGAGAGTAACACCCAATACTGTAAAAATGGGCTGAAGACCCACCACTAGGTAACTAAGAAGATAAGTAACTATTAATGCTAAAAAAAAACAACAAGCACTAACTCTACTTGAAGCGACACTGCTACAATTTTTCAAGAGAAAGTAATAAACCAAAGTCATTAAGAAAAACTGTATGTTTAAAGTATATTTGTGTGTGTGCCTCAATGTCAAAAGAGTATCCTAACCCATCTGGGCTTAAAATTTTCAACTAGAGCTATTTAATAGGGTGTTTCCAATTACACTAAATAAAATTAATAGAATAAAAGTGATAGGAAAGGTGATACTGGAATTCTGGAGGAAAAAAAAAAAACCGGCACAATTAGCTAGCTTATTTTGTTAAAATGTACAAAAAAACAAATTCACATCTCTTAAAACATATTAAATAATCAGAGGTCAAGATAGTTATCCATAAAACGTCACATCATTCAGTAGTTATCTCTATTTTTTTTAACAGTGGAATAAAAATCACTGCTTGTGTTATAAGTATTTTTTTCCTGTTATTTTTACCAAATTTGTTCTCAAAGCTATACAATACTCAGCCAAAACCTACTTGGCACTTACTATCATGACGATGTAGCAAAAGAAGAGTCTGCCAAATTTTAACCAAGAGTAGATCAAAGAAGATTTTAGTACAGTATACTCTGCTCAGAAATAAACCAATATTTTCCATAGTTTCTCTGAAATAGGCAACAATGCATTTTCTCACAACATATTGTAAATTTCAGTGTGAAGGCTGCTAACCCAGAAGCACTGTTGACTTGGCTTTGGGTAAAGGTGCACCTCTAATATTGCTTAAATTAACTGTCAAACAAAATAAAACTTGATTTGTTTTGGTTGAGAACAATAGGAATCCAAAAAGATCTTCAATTCCTGGAGCTTCATATTGAGGAAAGGGCTGAGATGGTGTTCTTCACATATTTTTTTATCCAAGCTGCTTCCATTTGAAGAACTAAGAAAATACTACATTTCTTATTGTGTTCTTTTTGAGGATTCTATAAAACTTCGGTTCACCATCCTAGCATAAGGGTATATGCTATAGAGTCGCTAAAACCCGTAAAAAAGAGACCACCACTACACAAAACGTCTGTCCAGTGCCCAAGGTGAGGGCTTCAAATGGTATCATTTGCTTTCCTGCTGCTCGGTACACTCCAGCAATTGCTGCACCTGTCCAAAAATTTATGTGTTAAAAAAAAAAAATCAAGGTTAATATAGTCAGGAAAATATAGCACTTAGAATTCTATTATAAGTAGAATGTTCCAGATTGTTTACATTAAAATTTAAATATTATAGAAATATGTTGTGTTCCCTATCTCTTTGCTTACTACTCTAGGTTTTCAGTATTCCTTATATGATTTGCAAATCACTGATACGTGGCTTTAGTTGTTAAAAAGTGATTCCTTAAAATTGAGAGTCTCCTAGATATACTGAATAAAAATCACCTGCAAGTCATAACTCAAATCACAAAGATTGTAATTTCCACAGGACCTGATTACAAACTCAAAAACATCTCCTTATTCCCCATGCATTTAACAGGTACCTAATAAATCCTTGGCAATAAATGACAAAGAATCTGTGTGAGGCTGAGCAAGACATATTTCAGGAGAAGCCACGGGGAATTCCCACTCCACCTTCTACTATCCTCAGAGTTCCCTTCAAGAAATGGATGGAGGAGGGAGGAGAGGAGGGCGCTAAGCCTACCAAGTTGCTGTTAATTCAACAGGCGTAAGGGGAGAGACACTCCGGGATTCCTTTCTGTTCCCCGACCACTGATTGTTCTTATTATGTTAGTCATTATAACTTCCTAGGAATTGATTAAACAAACACAAATGTCTGTATCTACCCAGGAACCCCTCTGAATTGCTACAGGAACTCAGCTTTGTACCAAGAAAGTCAGGATTTCATTAGTTTGGAAAGAAAACATTAGTTTGGTCACAGTGTGTGTGCATTCATTCAAATATGTATGTACTTCCATGTTTTATAAGCTGTGATCCCTGTTCTCATAGTACACAGAATCTAGTTGGGGGACACAAGACAGAAAGCACAAGCATGAGATAGATTGTGAAGGGTGCAACACAATATACAGTGTCTCAAACAAATGTCTACACATTTTGTAAATGTGATGTGAAGATATATGAACATATTTTAAGAAAGAACAATATAACTAACACTTGTTACTTTGTGACAAGTAAAATGCTTGTGACTTTGAAATGCCCACCTCCAGGGGCAAAGCACACATACTGTGTTACTAATATCTGAGAGGAGCATGTTTCATTCAGCCCCTTTATAATGCATCTCCAAAAAAAAGTGGGCTGGGAAGAAGGAAGTGGAAAGAACTTGAACTGGGCCCTAAGTGGGATTTGGATGATGAAGAAGGGAAGAAAGGAAAAAGCTTACAGAAGAGGCAGCAAAATGGGAAGGGAACAGACTCAATGCACTAGAGTCTTAAAGATAGAAATCAATGTGGCACTTACTGCATGATTACTATGTGTTAGGTATTATGTTAAATACTTTATATGCATATTATTTCATTTAATCACCACACAGCATGAGTATTATCCCTATTTTACCGATGAGAATCTGAAACAGGTCTTAAGAGCCAGTAATCCAGTAAGGAAACTGGAGAAGGTCTCTAAAGATAGTAGTAGGTGATATAGTTAAAAATATTGTATAAGGTTAGTTATGGAAACTCCTCAATGCAGATAGGAGAAAACCGACCTTCTGCTCAAGTTATCACAACAGTTGCATCATCAAGAAAACAGAGAAACGAGGCCACTCTGTCCCCCCAAAAACCTTCAAGTCAAAGACAGAGGGAGATTTCTGCTTGAATCTCAAGGTTTAAATTCACAGGGAAAAAATAAAGTTACAAATTAGTAGGAATATTATGTTTCTATTTTTAAGAATATATTTGTGTTTACATGTATACCTGGAAAAAAGTCTGAAAGCATATACCAAAATACCAACTGTGGTTATCATTTAGGGGTGTGGCGATGGAGAATTATTTTTGCTTTCTTATATTTTTTAATTTATATAAAATATACATGTTATTTATATTTAATTATGAACTTAACAATGATTTAAACTTATTCTCATCCCTGTGACATGAGCAAAAGCCAAGGAAAAAAAAAACAGGTAACAAAATTTATAAGAAGAATGTTACTCTAATTCTTTTTTTTATTGTGAAATACACATTTTAAAAAATTAGTTTCAGCTGTACAACACAGTGCACTAGCTATACTTTTTACCCCTTGAAGTGACAACCCCCGTCTCTAATTCTTATTTAGGAAGTCCTGAGAGGGAAAAAAAATGATCCAAGAGGAACCACACCTGAACAAGTGGCAGTAATACATCAACCATTTTGCGATGCCATCAGTCACGTCACAGCTAATGAGAAAGGAGCAGCAGCTTCCAAACATACAAGTATCTTTCTGGTGCGAGTGACCCTATTTCACAAAGCTTAACATGGCTTCCCTGAAGCCAGTGAGAAAAAAATCTGACTCAGAAAGTCAAAGATGTTAGCCACATAATGGGGTACTGGGGGAGAGGATAAAAAACAATACATAAATAAAAGGGACCTGTGGTTAAAGGCCTCTCTGTATTTCTTCATCCCACTCAGATATGTTTCTAGAATGAGTACTGAAATTAACTGACTAGTCACATGAAATATTTTGACCGGTATTTTAATGTCTAACATACTTGTCAAGATTCCAGCAGTAATTGGTCCCACGATGCCCATCAACAGGATGCTTACAGACATGAACCTACCATATTTGTGATGTCTGAGGGTGAAGAGGGCCAGTAATCCAGCGGGGACATGAAAGAAGAGAGAGGACACCAGTGCCCACAGGAACACACCATACCACATCTCTACAAGGGGAAGCAAACAAAGGTCGCAAGTCAGTCTTTCCCAGCGCAGTCCTTACAAAGGGGGTAGTCATTATTATACCCAGTTATTTCGTATTCCATTCAGTTGCAATGTAAGTTCATTAGTTAAATATCCAAATATTGATGGTGTTAGAGGGATCAGCAACCTATGACCACCACCTGTTTTTGTACATCAAGTCTTATTGGAACACGGCCATATCCATTCATTTAAGTCTTGTCTATGGTTACTTTCAAGCTACAAGTGAAGAGCTGAAACGAGTGACAGGGACCACATTGCCTAGAGCCTAAAATAATTACTATCTGGCCCTTTACAGAAAAAGTTGGCCAGCTCCTGACTAGCGACCTCTACCCCAAAACATTGAAAAAGACGGTTCACCCAGATTTGAAAATTGCCCTAAATCACTTCCCTCCCATAAGAAGCACAACCCTAAGTTCACTGATACGGTACCATGTAAGCAATGCCTGTTGACCTTTCCTGGCTTTTTGATTATTCAGTCTTCTAAAATGGAAATGCTGGGCCCGGCGAGTGGCGCGTTGGTTAAGAGCTGGCTTGGGACACCAGAGGACCCTGGTTCGGATCCCACATATGAGGGCCAGTGATACTGCCCTCTACAGCTAAGATGCTGAACAACAGCTCAACCTGGAGCTGGGCTGCCGTGAGGCGACGGCGTAGGCTGCAGCCCCTGCTGCAGTGGGTTG